CGTATGAAAAATCGCCATTTTTCACGTTTACATGCTTGGCCCACAAATGTCGGACTAGCAAATCAACAGAATGGTAGGTCCGGTGGACCTCAAATTAGGGATTCCAGGACAACTTTCGACGCTCTTTGGGATAGTCAAAAGCGACATGAAAAAAAATTCGGCAACGGATGGTCTCTATTTTGGTCGGTGGTCTCATGGACTCTCTCTTAAGAAGAGAACTCTTCTCTATCTCCGTTTCCCTGGAACTTCATTCGTCGTTGAAATCATCGCGAGTTCAAAACTGTCAAACGAACATCTTCGCTCCAGAGAATCAGTCTGATCACCTTGTTGCCGTGATTTTGTTCGTTGATACGTTCACGCGGCAGAAGAGTCATGTGGAGTATTCGATGAGTTGTTTCTTGAAAAGTTGATCCATCGTGGTGAAAGATGAAGTTGGAAGGAGGAAGTTATCTGATCATCAACGAGGAGAAGATTGACCGTTGTTGGTCATCTTTTCTCACGGGATGACACTCTCAAGGTGTTCTGATCAAAGATTAGGATAACAGAATCGAACATTTCACAGAACAACAACTCACATTTGAACTGCACCTTAGAGATCCTCTTCTCAGCGTTGATGCAGAGTACAAATCTTCCACCCTGATGCCGATGTTCGCCCACAACCCCCACCCTGAGAAGAATCTGATTCTATGGGGGATGAGAACACTGGTGAACAAAGGAAGCGACGTGACAAGATCTGAATCATCTCCGATATTGAATCAACGTGTTGCAGAGGAATCCATCGGTTTTTCAAGTGTCCCTCCCGTTGCCATCAGCACGGAGTGAATCGCATTTGAGATACCAGATGAAGGTCTAGTTTTTACCAAGTGAATTTTTCTACCATTTGTGGCGGGTGGAAAGTGAACTCTATCTTCATATAAAAATATTGATGTAGTTACAAAACTCTTGTTTATTTGAAATAATGATGAATTATGTATGGATAGGTAAGGAAAATAACAAATAGTCGAACTAATACAAGAACTTGAAATTGTACTCAATGTTGAAATAATCGGCCGTAGGCGCAGTGTTGTTTACATGTTCGGTCAGTGACGAGGTCGATGAGGACACGATGGCGTTGTCGGTCTTTTCTTTCTTCCTTTCAAAGTCAGTGATTTGCTCGATCTTTCGATCGGTTGAAGGGTTGGTTTGAGCGTTGACCACTGCTTCGGCTTTCTTTCTAATGCGGGAGGATCGTCCAAGTGAAGGTTCTGGTTGTTGTTTTCCATCCACTTTGTTTGTTTCCTCCTTGTTTTTGGACCACGTGTCACTTGATCATTGGTCGTCAAGTTGTTGTCGTCGATTAGGGATGCACCAGTTCCAGTTAACTGGGTATCGATCTGACTGGGTGCCAGTCAGATTGGGTATCTGCCGGGACTAGGTTCTGGTCCGACTGGGTGCCAGCCGGACTGGCTAACCAGTCCCGACTATTGGATATTGAACGGTCTTTGGCATGAACAATGCCATTAGTTATTCCAGAGAGAGCAGGGGTTATGTTGAGCGCTTGAGGGTGACAGTATGCTGGCGAAAGTGAGGTTGTGGTTCGGAAGTGAAAGCATCGGCCATACCCGTATCCTCACCCTAACGTTCACCCCTTAAAAACGTGGGTTACGGTTGAAGGTGGCTGGTTTATAGGGGTGGCACTTTGTCGTTAATTTAATAATAAACGTTAAATAAAAATTTAATCTTTAATATTAAAGATTAACTGATCCTTTAATTTAAAAATTAAATTTTTAAAGATTAAAGATTTCATTTAATATTAAAGTTAAAGTTAAATAAAAAATTTAATCTTTAATATTAAATGGTTAAATAAAATTTAATCTTTAAAATTAAAGGTTAAATTTTTCATTTAATTTTTTATCTAATGAGAATTAAATAATTAAATCGTTACTCTTCCAAAATCCAAAGTACTTCGTATTTGAATAGCTGCACGACTCTGTTGACAGACCCTCAATTCAAAAAGACTACGAAAGGATCAAAACAGGCAGAATCGTAGCCAAAAACGGGCATAATTAAGATCCAATTCGACGATTTCATCATTAGCTATACGATCGAAGAATTCATCTCGAAGTGACATACTAGGTCCCGCAGAAAACAATCGAAGATAGTGTCAATGAAGCAGAATGGAAGTGGTTGATACCTATCGTTCGATGAGGGTGCGCTGGCTGGGTTTCCGTCCTTCTCAATCCGATCTTCAAAATATATGAGTCACTTAGTTCATAGATCTCGCTCTTACAGTAACGTCTTGCTATAGCTTTTCCAGCACGATACCCGAGCGAAGTTCAAGCTCGGGAAGAGGTGTCATCACGAAGAGCACCATTCTTACCAAAAATGGACGATAGATAAGTACGACTCGTTTGGCAAGGTTTTTTCAATCAAAGTGTCTCAGATCTTCGATAATTGTGAGATGAAGTTGAAAGCTATTGGGAATGGATCTGCGACAGAAACTGATTTTTATAGCATCCGCAATGGCTCCTTGAGCGTAGGCCACTCGAATCGAATCACCACAAGGGCAGAAGTCTAATACCTTGTCTTCTATTCACCATTTGATTGCATCGCAAGTCTCTTCATCCTATCCTTTTCTTCACCTGATCTCGAGTGTGTTCTATGTGCTGGAATAGTCGTTGAATCTCCTGTATATTGGATCACGCTCTTTTCTTCAACCTCGTATCGAAGGACAATCCTACCTAAATAACGCCAGTCAGCAATGCGTTATCAGAGAAGACCTGATCTTGCTTTTTGTTCACCTACCGTCGTAGAGACGAATGTTCAAAGGATGACTGTGCTCTCTTTTCCATCATAAGCCTCCGATAGACACATCCGGACCGGAACGTTATTATCGGTCATTTTGAAGCATCAGACAAACCCAGCATCATAAGCGAATAGCATCGATCATAGGCTGATTTGTATTTACGGTATTTCGCTCTTATTCAGCCTATAAAAGACCACGGCAGGCACGGTTAGAATGCGAACAGTTTTCGTCTAATTTTTGTACCCGTTCTATCTGTAACTCATCTCATTGTCACCTTGAACAGAGACTGCTTGAAAATATCTCACTCGTCGGTCACTGGGGATTGATCGCTCGAACTGTTCCTGAGTAGTCGCGGCTAAACAATTTTGAACGGATCAACAACGATGAATTCATCAGGAGCGTGGTTTCCTCTTCTCGATAGATTTGTTACTGACCGCAAATAAATCCGACCGCTATGGACGTATCGGATTTCCGAGTGTTCTGAAGAGACGAATCCATGGGAACAGTGCTCTCGATTGCTTGGTTTATTTCCGAGGAATTTCACCAGAATCAACCATACTAGTTAACCCAATCTTATCTATCATCTGAGCCTGTCATCTTGATTTTCGTGGAAAGTGAATCCTCTATCAATCGTGCTTGGTTGTTTCGTGAAGTTCATTCACACAAGGGATGGTTGGAAATGATCAGCAGGAACAAATCTCTCTTGCCAATTGTGAGTGCATTGATCGTTTAATGCCTGTTCGCTTTTTTCTCTCGTGATTTGACTCTCTTGGTGCTTTTGTATAAATGACCAGAGGAACATCAGAGCGGAATTGCAACAGGCAGACATTCTCGGTGTGGTCACAATTCTTTGTCGAACATTCAGTAAGAGAGATGCAATCTACGATCAAACATCTGGTAGAGAAACAGAGGAAGTTCTCGTTCACCATTGCGTATGTATGAACGGTCGCGAGGGAAAACAAAGAATCAAACGAGCAAAGAGACGCTGGTGAACGGGAAGAGAAGAGAGAGAAACCGTTAGAAATAACGGCTGCTTTTGAAAGCCAGACAAGTGATGCGCACGTGCGAATAGAAGCAACGGTTAACATCGATAAAAAAGCCGTTCAGTCGATCCTAGCGAAGAAGAAAGAAGGAAATCGATGGATAGACAAAGGAATACCTCGATCCAGAGAGATTCGTACTCCAGACGGACTAGACATTAAGAAGAGCTGAAGCAGTCTTTTCATTTCTCTGAAAGTTGTTTGGTGGAAAAGCGACGATCGATAATACAGCAAAATGAGCTCTAGTAGCATAACTAGAGATACTAATGGCCGCGATACGACCACGTCATCATCAAACGCTCGAAGTCGATACAGCTTCCGAAGAAGCCAACGAAGGTCGGATTCCATTGTGATGAGAACAGCTTCATCACAAAACAGAAACGCGAGAACTCCTCGATCACGATCGATGGGTCTATCTCAAAGAGCATCGGCGGATGCCGAAGAAAATAACAGCCACGACGATCGAAGCGCAATGGAACGATCAGATGATGAGACCGACGCTCCGATTCGGGCTTACCGAGAGAGGCGAGCAATGAACGAGACCTCATCGGTACTTCATCATTTTGATCGAGTGGACGAGGAACAGTACCTATGCAAGATTTGTTATAAAGTAAGAATAGCTTGAATGGGCAACAGAGGTTCTATCTGGAAATCGCACCAGGAGAATCATCAATTGTTTCCTCTTTTTCCTTAGGTAGTTCGAACGTCAAGTGGATCGACACCAATCTACGAAGCCATTTGGGTCGAATGCATGATATGCCACAGGTCATGTACCAATCTCAGATAAAGCAACGTGAACGCAAGCCAGGAGTAGTCCCTCCAGATCGACGACGAGAATTGCACAAGGCGGCCATCGCCTGTATCATTGAGGACGGTCGGCCTTTCAACGACTTCCGACGGAAAGGAATGGCGAAGTTCTTGGATATCCTTTATCCCGGCTAGTAAGTGTTTCTTATCGCCGAAGTCTAGCTTTCGCTTCGCCGGAAGGACAAGTTTCACTTGGCACGATGATCTTCGTCGAAAAAGTCCGAGTCCTCATCTATTCCTCTCTTTCGTTCCAGTCGGGGTCCTCATCGAAAAACAGTTCGTCGTGGAGTTGGCCTGTCGTATCATCAATATCGGAAGAAGATGCGAGACAGTCTCGCAAACGTTCAGCACATTGCCATTACAACAGACGTTTGGACGAAACGACGTACATCGTTCATTTGTTTAACAGGCCATAATTTCAACAAGCAGTATCAATTAGTCTCGGTAGTGATTGGTTTCCGACGGCTCTCTGGGCAGCATCTAGGTGATACTATTCGAAGTTACATCCGGTATGTGCTGCAGCAGTTAGGCATCGCCGACAAGATATGTGGGATCACCAGCGATAATGGCTCCGATGTCAAAAAAGCCACCGGAAATATTGAATTCGGACATCGCTTTTGGTGTCTGGCTCATTGTCTCAATCTGATCGTCAGGAACGGTCTCGGACTCTGGCCGAAGCCAAAGGCTAAACAGTACGTTACTTTCTCCATTGAATGTCGAGTGACATTTCTAACTTTTCCATACCTTTCATCCGCTTCTACGTATTGCAATTTTCCATGGTGTTTTAGAAAAAATACGGCATCAACACCCATCCTAATGTCGATCGATCCAGAAGAAAGCGAGAGCGAAGACGATGTGAAGTCGGAGCTTGATCGATTGGATATACCAGCGGATATCGAAGATGATCAAGAAGATCAAACAACAGACGAATCAAGCGAAAGCGATGGATCCCCTGACGATGAACACGACTGTGATGAAGAATGCGAGGCCCAAGAGATCTTCACTGATGAATCAATCGAAGATTTCCTCTCCTCAAATACTTCGATGGAAAATACACGAATATGGATCCAAAAACTGGTAAAGCGAGTGCGCTCATGCGTGAACTACATTCGAAATAATTGCGCGATTAATGATTACGTCTGTAATCGAGCAGGCTCCAATCTGCCACCTATTCGAGCAGGTCTCGTAATCGATTTCGAGGTTCGCTGGAATTCAACGTACATCATGCTCGATCGATTCATTATTCATCGCGCCATCCTCAACGAGATCACGACGGAGCCATTGAAAATTCCCGGTATCAGTGTAGTCCAACAAATGAGCCTTCAATCCAACGCGTTTCAATTCTCCAGCAATCATTGGTCACAGTTGATTGATCTGCATTCCCTGATGAAACCGTTCTTTGTCGCCACCAATACCATCTCTGCGCGAAATTATCCCACTCTAGCTATGGCTTATTCGAGTACGTACTTTCTTGAAACGCCTCAGATAGAGAAAACTCTCAATGCCAACCAACATCGGCAGAAAACATCTTCTTTAGTTACACTGATGATCTGATGTTTCTCTATTGTAGTTGAATTTGCATTGAGTGGCTTTCTGAACACAGAAACGATTGGCGATTCCACATTCATGAAATGTCTCAAAGCATGTGTGTCCGAGAAGTTTGAACATTATTTTGTTCACGAAATGGGAAAATCTCAAAAGGATGCAAGTTTGGTGAGTGCATTCTCCCTCAGCGACTCTTCAGCGAACAAAAGTGGCGATCAGACTTTTCTTTTGTGCCTGTTGTGTACTCAGACAACAATCAACCAGAGTATTCTGTTGACGCGAGCAACTGGGCAATGTCTTTTGCGAGATGCTCGCGAGAATTCGAAAGAAGAAATGAAGATCCGTCTGCTCAATTGCTCTCTCAACATTAATAAACATTTTGCAGGCGTGTTCATCAGTTTCTCCCTCTGTCTCTATCTGCTGTCGAACACACAACAGCCTGAACTACACATGTTCATTGTCCACTTACAGTCGAAGCTCACTGATGTCTTTCTGGACTCGAATGGCTCGAAACAACGGCAGATTATCGATTGCTTCAAACCTGTGTCTGGAGTACCGGGTAGAGATTTCGGGACACCTAACAGACAGTGAACACATATTGTGATGCGCCCTGTTAAGGGCCCCCCCCGGGTCAAAAATCTATTTTCTTCCCTGAGCATTCAATCTCAATGAAATTTTTACTGGATATGTACCTGATCTTTGGTAGTTTCCAGGAAAAACTTGAGCCCATAATATTGAGTTTTGCGGGAGTTATCCTAACATTAAGGGTAAAAACTAGGTCTCCGTGTGCAAAAGATTTTTTGCGCAATTTGAATGATATGAACCTCGGGATGGTGTCAGAATGTACAGAAGACCTGTCGCTATCACCTAACAAAGTTGGTTTTTTGAAAAAACGAAAATTGATTTTTTAGAAAGGTTTTTGGAAAAAACCGAGGTTAACTATTCAGAAAACTGGATTTTTTTGTAAACAAATAAATGAAAAACGAAAATTTCGGCTTTGCTAGGCTGTAGCGCTGAGCTTAAGCTTCATTTTAAAACCTTTCCGAACTTTCTAGCATTCGAAATGACAGAAAAATCTTTGTCACACTGCCAGACAAAACTCAAAAAACCAGTTCCGAGAAAAACGCAAAACAAATTTTTACTTCGATTATCATGTTTTTCGCTAAAACTTGTAGAGAAGTTCGAATAACTTCAATAATTGAGATTTAAAAAAAAAGATTTATGTCGGGGGTCTCAGCAAAACCGCTGAAAAACCCTGAAAAACCCTCGAAAAACCAACAAATCATTGTGCATTCGAAAGAAGAGACTCTGGGCTACCTAGCTAAGTGTAAATCTCAAAATCGGTATTTTTGACGAAAATTGCTGATTTCTGACCCGGGGGGGGGGCCCTTAATGTGAACGGTTTCGATTAGTCCCAATGGTGTTCACATTAGAGAGGTTTTACTGTATGTCTTCGTGAATTTCATCATACTTTGAAAAACCAAAAAGTAATCTGATGGGTATCTGAATCGCAAGATAACTTCATCAATTGTTCAAATTGCGCCCTGAGGAAATGTCTGTTAGGATCCTGGAATGGATCAGGAATTCGTGTCTAAAAAAGTGAACATAGAAAATCCTAGACGGAATGAATGGTTCATCGAAGAGATTTACAGACATATTGATGGCGGGCCGTAAGGAGATAGCCACGCGGTGCTCCTAGAATTGTCTGTCAGAGGCAGATTCTGTCTCCGAGCAATATTCTAAGATCAGATTTATCATATAACATCGTTTTCTGAAAATTTTGGTCAAGATAAGGTTCAGGTTAGATCTCGAAACAGGTGGTTTCAGGTCAGTGTAGGGCGATTTTGAGTACGGCGCCTTTCGATTTTGAACCTCAAACTTTGGCGTATAATAGAGGCAGACTATGCGCAATTTCTGGTAAAAATTGGCGTGGGTTCCAGTTGGTATTAAAAAATCGCGCTTGCTATACTGATATCCATCTCGGGTGTAAAATGGTACTTTTCGATGAAAATCAATCTCAAACCTAACCGAAAGTCGCCGTAACGAAGATCTCTGATATGCAGTTTTGTAGCGCAGACTTCGCTCTACAAGAATAAATAGAACAGAAAATTTTTCTCAAATGCATTTCTCATTTCATGAGTTTTTCTTGGAATAGGACTGTAGAGTGACGAAAAGTAGGTATTTACCCAAAATTCTCTATAAGAATCGAACTGGGATACCCTAAGTCATATACCATTCGACGCAGAAAAAAATTCTCTACAAAACCCTGCATTCGGTATGCCTCTGCAAGGTGTTTTCCAAATCCGACAGGGTCCTTTCTACGATCAAAACAAATCATACTTTGAGTTCTTTCTGAGACGCGGATAATGACACCTCGGATGATACAGCTTCACAGAACACAAGAACCAAAGAGGCATAATCGATCCTCAGCTAAGCTGAACTTCGTCTTTGACTTTGGTCATTGACTTATGTCTTTGACTTTGTCCTACTAGAGTCTAAGTGATTGTTTTTGCCACAAATTTTTATTTATGATTTGAACAAATCATTTGAATAGAATTTGGAACAACTACAATCGAAGCCATCTGAGGAGACCCTTGAGTAAGGTCGAAACGCGTCATGGCTACTCGACTCACCCTCTTGTTTGTGATCCTTGGATCATATGAACAGTCTCTGATAATATAGTTACTTATGCCATATGATGAGTCCCTTAAGCAAGGACGAAATCTAGATCATGGTAGCCTGACTCACTCTCACACCCTCATGTCTTGCAATTTTACGAAGTCACGTCGCTATTAAATGATTTTGCCCATATACGCTTATAGTAGTGCGTCGGCAATATTTGTTTTTGTTTTGATTCACAATCGCACATGGTATTTCGAACCACTTTTGCTTTTATGTGACAAAGAATGAAAAGAAGTAAGTATTAAAAGGTAGTACAAAGTTGAAAAAGGCTTATCTTTACGCTTTTTCGTTTTTCATCCATTTGATGGTAAAATGTCTGTAGTTCTGATGTTTTTCAACATTCTCTATTTCAGTTTATTCTCAGTAGTAGGCCTGTAACTTATATATCAGAATTACAATGAAGGAGAATACATTTACCAAATTTTAACAGTGGAGCAGGATCTGAGGGAGCCGTAGTCATTGAATTTTCTTTGTTATGTCCAACATATTTGATGTGAAAACTACGCAGTGTTTAGTTTTTTGCTGTCTTCTTCGTGATTATCTCGTTTCAATATATACCATCATGATGTTGATCTCTTATGACTGATATGAAGTTAATAGTAAGGATATGGTTGAATCAAGATCTGTTCTTAGGTTTTTTTATTTCTATTTCATATGAAATACATTTATCAGCTTTTAAACAGTTCTCATCAACTTTTAATACGTGTATACAATCGTTTGGTCAACAATTAATTCATCACTTGTAAGTATTGTGATTATAATGATGGATACAGTGAAGGATTAATTCTGAAGAGGACCTCCAACTATCAAAACTGCCGTTTCGATAATTATTTATGTTAAACTAAGACCCTGCGCGTGTTCGATTTTTCATACTCGACCTCGATGCAACGCATTTCTTTCAAACCCGATTCCAAAATAAACCCTTTTTCCGAATTCGTCTTCTATCTGACGCGACTCCAGCGCTAATTTTAATGTTTTGTAAAAGCTACTTTTCTATTGGCGCCATGATAATTCAATGCCATTCATGACTTTTTTCCACATTGTTCTAGCCTAATAACGTTTAAACTCGCAATTCAATATGAGCTGCCTTTTCTCGCTGAAAAACAAAAATCTCTTTCGAGGAATATGTGGCTTCCGCACTTTTTTAAAGGTGTCTTTTGTGAAAACTGTGACACAGTATAAGAAGACGTCATGAAATACAGCTCGGGGGTAGTCGTCTAAATATGAGGAGCATGTATGAACTATTTAATTTTATAAAGCATCAAACTTCACATACCTTTTATGGTCGAATCACTTGTTAATCAATCTGTTATCTGATCATTTTTTGAAAGTTCTGAAAAAAATAGATCTGATTATGTTAGTTCAAAGTCTTTCAACTCATTCAGTTCACTGGAGAAAAAAAGATGTCAAAAATTCAATCTAATTCATTTCATAAGTATCGACAAATTTTCTTAATTCACTGTGAATAAGTTCAGAAGACTTAATAAATATTTTCAATTAAATTTACAAAATGAACTAACTTGACAAGAATAGTATGGGATTAAACTGAACTCCATCTCAAACTGTATTATTTAGCTCTAAAAGTATAGAGATTTTTGTCCTAATGATTTTTTAGATATATCTCAAGCAAACTGAAACATTAAAAGTAGATTACATTTAGTCGAAGTCTGATGTATCGCTTGCTTCAATTATATTTCCTAATAGCACTAACACTTTCAATAGTAGAAATTAACAGGCAAAAGTATCGAATTATCATTCTTTTTGAAGATAAACATCCAGAAACTTATCAGAAAGAAGTTCAATCCATGATTTCATAGTGAAAAAACGAACGTAATTGACAACAATGAAAGAAACTCCAGAAAGCAGAACTTCAGGTTTCACCTCTGAGCTTGTCTAGTATTAGAATACCCGAAAATATTAAAAAAACAATAGAGCAGGGCTAGTAAAGAATTATAACAGTTTCATATTCATTGACTGCCACGGTCACCTTGTTCCATAATACTGCTGTCGCAGATCGTAAGTGAAGTGAACCGATTTTAAGTTAAGAAAGTTCAATATATTTTTGATCTATAAAAAACACGAGTTTAAAATGCCATGAAACTCTGAAACAAGCCACTAGCTGAAGAGCAACTAAAATAAGTGAGAAATAAGGGTGAAAAGTGCGGAAATATATTATACTTTGAGTTTTTTTATTCAAAGGAACCAAAACTAAATCGAATTGAGTTCTCAACCGAAAATTTCGTAAGGAGTCACCCTCTGATTGGTATCAGCTCGCGTCAGATGATGACTTAAGTCTGTGCACAGATATAGAATGTGAATTTGATTGCTACATAGGATGTTAAAAAACTTTACTTATTTATATTGTTTCGAAGAGAATAAAAGTATGAATTATTATCATTTAAACTCCAGTATTTGAAGTTAACGGGACCCTCCTTTCATGAGCTAAAAAACTTTTTTTCGATTTCTTTTTTTTTCATAGAAAGGTGCATCAAGATCCCCTCTAAGTGTCCTATAAAAATCAGAACCATTCCAGGTCGGGAAGTCTCTGAAAAGCCAGGTTTTCCAGAGACATATGCATAAGAAATTTTTTTGTATGATTTTATTTGTAAAGATGTTTGATCAGAACTCGCTAATAAATTAATTCTGACACCGGATTCCAATTTTCCACCCTCGAATACACCTTTTGCAGTATTATAAAATTTCGGTTCACCAATTAAGGGCTAATTAGTGTTCGATTAATTAATCAATCATGTATTTATTTAAAAACAACTCCATATTCGGATTTCTCATGGCGAACTACCCTCTGTACCACAAAATTAGTAAAAAATACTCATGTATCAACGAGGAAAGAAACATTTTCTACAAGTTTTTTTTTATTTTGCATTTTTCTCGAAACTAGGTTTTCGTGTATGAAAAAACAGTTTTACCCCCCGTATTTTGGTTCTAATTCCTAAAGTATTTAGAATTCTTCAAAAACAAAAAGTCCCCCACGATTAGGTCCTCTTACCTTTAATAAAAATTTCAACCGAAACGAATGAAATCTGTGGCCTGTATGGGGGTCCCCTTAAGGGATCTTAACTCAAAACTCGATCTCAGATCATTTGGGTTCAAGTGACTTGAAATTTGGAGGATATGTTGGGGATGAATTGAAGGAACCGTGGTAAAATTTCCAGCTTCGTATCATGATGCTTGACAGCGATATGAAACAAATAAGGGTAGAAAAATAGCTCATTTGGCTTCAAAAGTTTCTCGAGTCCCGCACATGCTGTATGTTTTTTTTTGTTCTCGAAGAGCATGTTAGGATGCAGGGTATCACAGAGTCCTTTTTTCAAATTCTTACTTTTTTAGTGGAGAAAGGCGGTCACAAGTTCAGTGGTTCCAAAAAATAGGTACCTAGTTACATAAATGCCTATATACAGTGGCTCCCAAAATTATCCAACAAGCAGACAGGCTATTTTTGTTTCATCTATATCTTGCAACCCGATTGAGCTGTCAAGGTCCCGGCTTCATAGCCTCATCAGCCACAGTCCCTAGTACCTCCATACACAATCTCAGCTCAATCCATCGATCTCTTGAGTTTCTACAGGAAATA